GGTCCTTCCTGTGGCACACACGAGCCTGGGTCACCTCCCAGAGGTTCTGGCTACCTAGAGCTCATCTTCTCCCTCCTCCATGAGACATGGCTCCAAATTCCAAAGGTGGTCATCATTGTCCACCCCCCCACCCCCGCCAACTCCCACACAGGTTGACTTGTGTCTCCCCCAGCTGAATTCATTTATTGGAGTCCTAACCCCCCTCCCTCAGAATGTGTTCATACTTGGAGATGGGGTCTTTACAAAGGTAGTCAAGTTAAAATGAGGTCAATAGGGTGACCCTAATCCAATATGACCAGTGTCATAAGAAATTTAGGACACCCGGACAGGTACACACAGAGGGAAGACATGTGACTTGGGGAAGACAGCCGTCCACAAGTCAAGGAACAAGGCCCGGGGCAGATCTGCCCTCACGGCCTCAGAAGGAACCCAGCCCCCTGCTGACACCTTGTTCTCTGGCATCCTGCCTCCAGAAAATACATTTCTAGCCTCGAAGCCGCCCAGCCGGCTCCTTTGCTAAGGCAGCCCTAGGAGACTCACCAGCACCCCCCCCCCCCCCACGGCTTTCCCTACTCTCGTGTTGGTCTTTGTGTGACCGGCCTGCCCGTCCAAGGGCCACCCGCCTCTCCCCTCGCATCCCCTGGTCTGCCTGGAGCCACCGGAAGCACGGCACTGGGAACAACGTGCTTATGAGCACAACGCAGGGCTGAGCCTGGGGCCAGAATACCTGAGCTTGTGTCTTTTTGCCACCACCGATTGACAGGTGTACAAAAGGGCCATGTTGTGTCAACCTCTCTTAGCCTCAGCCTGTTTATCTTTAAAATGGGTACTGCGCACACTTCAGCTCTCACGGGCTTGTTGTGAATAGCCAAACAGTACTGACGGGACGCATGTGCGAATTCTCGTTAAGTCCTAGAGGCCCAAACGAAGCTATCACTGTTAGTAACGCATCACTCCTTGGTAACCACCCATCCCACTTTGGACTTTTATTGAACTCACTGTCAGTTAAAAACACAATTCTCTTTCTACTCTGATTGTGCCGAAACGTGTCTCCCATCCCGCTTCTAACGTAGCCTATTTGGATTCAAGAACAGATAACTTATACTTACTCCTGTTGATATTCATCTTGTAGGAATCAGCCCATTATTCTAAGCTTGAGCTGCTTTGAATCTCAATTTGGTTATCTGATATATTTGCCAGCCTTTCCAGCTGTGTGTCATTCATAGATCCATGAGCATGACCTTCTCTCCTCATCCAGGTCCATGCTGACCATACTGGAAAAGGACAGGCAGACAAAGCCCTCTCTCCAGACAATCTACAACCTTGGGGCTGAGTCTTCAATTGGCAGCAAATTTACTCAATTGTAGTAACATGCAGTGATGTGCTGGAGTGTCTTGTTGGTAGTTTAAAATCAGCCGTGGTAGGAGTATTTATACCATGGAAATTGGCAAATAATACAAATCAGATTTCAGCTCCCCCTTCCCACCCTGTCAAGAGCCAGTTTACCCGCAAACTACTGTATCCAGCCCACGTTTATGTGTCACACTCAAGATATTGGGAGAGACTTTGTCAAACACCTCCAAATTCACACATACATCTTTACGGAGTGTCACAGCCTACAAAACAGTGCAGTATGCATTATTTAATTCGGTTCTTTCAACATCCCAGGAAGTTAAAGGGCTGAATATTACTATACCCATTTTAAAGATGAGGAACACAAGGCTAATGATTGACTCAGAGCCAGACAGGGATCTAGCATCAAAGACGGGGCTCAGACTGCCATGTTCTGATTTCAAGGTCCCTGTTCTCTTCAGCTTGTCATCGAACTGCCCCCCCCGGGGCCCCCACCGTTGGTTGTCAAAGGTGCCCTGAATTCCCTCACCAGCTGTTGTTCTGGGTTTAAAACTCAAGCTTTGAGGGGGATTCTACCTCTAGTCCTTCTTGTTAGCAGCACATTGTTGGGATCCCTGTTTCTACAGGGGGAGAACCCTCAAGTTTCTGACAAGACTCTCTGCATTCTGTTTAAAATTCATTGATGACAAGAGACTGCTTAAAGTGACCCCAAGTCAATGCGGTGTTTCTCAACCTGGGGTCCAACAATGCCTGGGACCCTTGAGTTCTCCGGGCTAGCAATGCAGATTTAGGGCTCTGGGCCCGAGGGCTAGAAGAGGTGACCTGTCGGGGGGTGACGGCACGAGAGGAACCCCAGGAAGAAGCTGCAAAACAGACAGGTTTGGCTTAGCCCACACAGTGTCTTTCTTAAACACTTCTTAAAAATCTTAAAAATTGAGAGATTTCACATAAAAAGCCAGATTTCCAGAATCTCTGAAAAACCTGGAAATCTGGCAACACGAGCCCACTGATATACTTGGAAACAATCAGATGGAATTGGGGAGGGGCTGTCCCTTTTTGAAGTGGCAGGACTTCTCCAATTTACACCCCCTCCCAATTTGGGGAGTTGCAAACTCTAAAGCCCTAGGCGCCCAGCAATGAATGTAAATGAATGGTGTGAGCTTTGAGCGCCAGGACAACTAACCTTTGACCTTGGGTCTAGGTGCTAGGGTACAAAGGGCTGGCCTGGGCCTACAGAAAGGGCTGCCTGCTTTGTCTCTTTGAGAGCCTCTCTGGTTGGGGTCACCGCACATCTCTGAGGGCTGGATGTGGTGGACAGACCCCAACTGGGACGCTTGCACTAACCATTGGGAAGTTAGTTTCAGTTTCTCATCTTGAAAGTGATGATGATAATATTAGCATTTACCTCACAGTCTTGTGGTGAGGATAAATCAGCTAAACCATGAGAGATTCTTAAAACAGTTCCTAAAACGTGCAACAGGCTCTCAATCAACACTGGTTGCTGTTCTTCTGCCCCGGGCCTGCGTGGCTCTTCTCCTTCTGTGGGAGCTGCTCTGGAGTCTCGGGGGCTGATGAAGGAAGAAATGAGGGCTGGGACTGTTGGGGTTGGGGCAGGGGAGTCTGGACAGGTGGGGCTCTAGTCCACCAGACGGGCATTCTTTAAAAGTGTGTCTAAGATGGTTTTCTCCTGAAGGAATGAGGCCGGAGTAAGACAGCGGTCGGGCGGTAAAAGTAAGGGGTCAAAGAAGAAACTGAGGCACAAAAGCAAAAGAATGCTTCCTGCTGGGTGGGGTGGAGTGGGGTCTGCAGACTGAGCTGGAGCTCAGCTTCTCCTCCTTCTACTCAGGCCCCTCGCCTGCTGGGGCCCCTCCTCCGAGCCCACCCACTGAGGCTCCTCCTGTGGATTCAGCTGGTGTCAGAGGATCAGATCTGCTCACAGCCCAGGACAGCCAGAGCACCACGGGGCTCTCTCCTCCACCGTGCTGGCTGACTTTTTATTTCTAGCTCAGAACTTCACTGAAGGCAAAGAAGGCAGGGCTCCTAAATATGCAGACTGCATCGGGGCTGGGAAGCTGGGCTAAAGCTAACGAGATAATTCTGCTTCTGAGTTCAAGATGTGGGAGCGGGGAGAATGGAGTTCTCAGCCGAGGGGTGGAAAGGCCCAGGGGCTGCTCGCTGATTCCAGGCCTTTATGAGCCCGCGGTGTAAGGGCAGTGAGAAAGGAAGCTGGGCCTGGAACCAGGGGGGACAGGGTCACAGGGTCTACCGATGACGCCTGGATGCCGTGGTGCTCAGGGTGGCACCTAGCTCCCTATTTTAACCCACGGGCCAACGAGGGGCACTTTGGCATTCACCCCATGCTGGGTGTCGAGCTGGGTGCTCAGTACTTAGCATCCCACTGAATCTTTATAGAAAGGGGCATCAAGTCCCACCTTACGGACGGGACACTGAGGCTCAGAGAACTAAGTGCCTCTTCCCACATCCGCCTAGCTGGTGAGGGGCAGAGCCCACCTTCCAACAGAGACCTGGGAGCCCCGAAGCCTGTCTGTTAGCACCAGGCAGCCCCACCCCCCTCTGGCTCTCCCAGTGGGCACCAAGGGCGAGAGCAGCCTGCGCAGGCCCCCAGGTGAGGAACATTTGAGGAAGCCAGTTCCTGAAAGTTCCTGCAGGCGGAACCGGGGAGTGTGGACAACTGCTTCCAAATGTCTGGAGGCAGTTAGAGGCCATGGAAGCAGAAAAGGGTTTATTCTCTAGAACTCCAAAGGGCAAGACCAGGGTCACTGGAAGGAAGCTTCTCCTCACCACAAGAACAACTAAAGATGGGGCGCCTGGGTGGCTCAGTCAGTTAAGCATCCCACTCTTGATTTCAGCTTAGGTCATGATCTCAGGGTCGGAGGGGGTTGGGGGGGATCAAGGCCCATGTCGGGCTCTGTGCTCAGTGAGGAGTCTGCTTGAGATTCTCTCCCTCTGCCCCTCCTCCCTCTCCCCGCCCTTCCCTCTCCCAGGCATGCTCTCTTTCTCTCTCTCTAAAATAAATAAATAAATCTTTTTTTTTTTTAAAAGACAACTAAATATGGAAGTAGCATCTGTGAACATGGTGAACAGGTCCTTTTGGAAAGGGACTGCTGCCCAGGCATGGGCCAAGAGCAGCTCAGGTGTCAGCAGGCCAACGTGGGTAGGCAAGAGAGGTGCCCCCTTGGGCTGTGGGGTGCAGGGAGGACAGGGCCAACCATACAAAGGGATCTCAGGGTCTTCTTTTTTTTTGAGAGGGCGAGAGAGAGAGCAAGCGAGAGAGCAGGGGAGGGGCAGAGGGAAAGGAAGAGAGAGAATCCCAAGCAGGCTCCATACCAAGCACAGAGCCCGATGCAGGGCTCAATCCCACGACCCTGAGATCAGGACCTGAGCTGAAATCAAGTGTCGGACACTTAACCGACTGCGCCACCCAGGCGCCCCTCAGGGTCCTCTTAAGATCAGCTGTCAGAGCCACCTACCCCCCCGCCCCGACCCCCTGCCTCATTCATTCACGAAATATTGTTCTGTATTGTGCTGAAAAAGACAGATGCAGTCTGTGCCTTTAAAGAGCACTACACTGAAATCTTAAAATTTTTGGTACATGCTATAAGCTATAAGAAGGTGGAACTTCATACCTAATCAGGGTGGGAGAAAGTGTCCCTGGAAGAAGTGGCATTTAAGTCGAGACTTGAAGGATGGGCAGATTTAGGCAGGTGAAGGGAGCTGCAAGTGTGTTGCAGGCCAAGGGAACAGCATGTGGGAAAGCCCTGAGTGAGGGCAGGCGCTTGAAGCCTGTGAGAAAACGGAAGAGAGAACAGATCAGATCTGTGTTGCAGGAAACCTGGCTACCCCATGGGCTGGGGGCGGGGGGAGGGGCCCAGACTGAGAGCGGGGCACCACCTGGGGGGCTACCTCGGTGGTCCAGGCAGGAGACAACTGTGGCATTACTGAGACATAAGCGGATGGAACTGGGATGTATCTAGGAAATAAAATCAAATCAAAGGAAGAGGTGATATTTCCAGTGGAGAGAGAAGGAAGCGGGTGGGTCAGATGTCACTCCCAGGTCTGGGCTTGAGCTTCTGTGTCGCTGTCAGCCATATGGCCAGCCCCACCTCCACTGTGGAGGGGACCCCATGCTCCTGTCATCGTGCGTTCACGGGGAGACCTCTACTCTGTTCCTCTGGAGAGAAGACTCTGGAATAATCCTGCCACCTCTCCCACCACTTGGGAGAGAGGCTTTCTGCCTGAGGAGGGGGGGGGTGTCTGACATCTGCAAGACAAGTTCTCCTGGGTCAGGGGTGGTGACATCAGGACTGTTCCCTGCAGCCTGCCCTTCCCTTTGGGGTGCATCTGCTGGTAGGAGGGAGCCCATCTCAACCTGTTCCCATGCCCCAGATAAACAAACCCAAGTTAGGGTGTAGGGTCTGCCTGCTGCATCCAGGCCTCAGGTTCAAGCTGGCCCTGCAGTAAAGCTGATTTATGTCCCGGACACGTGGGCCTACTTCTCAGTGGGCTCATGACCTAGGGTGTAAGGCGTGTGACTGGGCCCACCCTATACCCAAACCCACCTGCTGGGCATGTGTGCTGGTGAGGTCTCTAGGTTCCTACAAGGATATGACCCTTCCCCCAAGAACGTGACTCTGTACTCAATTCCCGATTTTAAACAGACCTGCCTGCTGCCTGACAGTTCTCAAAACTGTTGTTGTAAATATTAGCGCGTAGAGCATTTCCCGAAGGCAGGCGATGTCTCCCTCCCGCCCTTCTAACTTTTATCTTGGGATTGACCATGGTCAGCGATATTTATATGGCTGCATACTATTTTGTTAGTCTTTGCCTTCGCCTAGGAAACCTGTGCTGAACTCTGCCACCCAGTGCGTCCCCCTCACGTCACCACACAGGAAAGACTTCTCGGGGTCACAGGGCCCGAAATCACAGTATCTTTGAGCAAATGGTTTGGCTTCCTGGCGGTGTGAATGACACGAGCGTCCTGTTTTCTCACTGCAGAGGGGGCCTCAGGGCCTTGGGGCTTGGTTTTGTGCACTAATGTCATCCTTGGCTGCCACATATATTCCCTGCCCTGTATTCCCAATGTCCTGACGTCCTCCCTACATGTGTCTTTGCAACGTGCCTCCGACCCTTTCTGGAGTGAGGTAGAACGCAAGCACATCTTCCTGCATCTTCCAGTCTCTGCTTTTCTCCCCCTCCCCACAGTACCGCTGCTCCTCGCTCCAGGCCCCAGAATGTTCTTCGGTCTGGAAAGAAGGTTGACATGGGAGATGATCCAAGTTTGTAAATTCCAGGAAAGGCATGAGCGGGACACATGCTCATGAGACATATTCTCAGATTTCCTGGAAGTTTAGGTAACAAAGGAATTGGTTTCACAGCTTGGGAAGCAAATCAAGAGGTGGGCCAGGCAGAAGTGAGTGACCACTCTCCCACAGGGTCCTCACAAGTGACCAAGGGTCTGCACATCCCTCACCAGCCGGGGACACCACGGCCACAGCCCTGGCCCCTACCAGGAGTCCCTCAGCAGAGCCCACCAGAAGCGGGCTGACGTCTCTGGTGCGGTCCTCCGAGAGCGCTCAGAACCCAGCGGAACCTGAGGGCCATTCACTCACCCCACGTGTCTGCAACTCAGCCTTCTCTCGTGACACCTCCTGCCACTTCCTCCCGTGACACCCCCTCCTGGTGACACCTCCAGCTCATTACCTCCACCACTTAACGCTCACTAATAACGAGCTCTCACTTGCAATCACACTGCCGGCACTCGGGGCAAAGACAGTCTCCAGCTGTGGCACGCCTGCGCTCGCGCCCGCCGCTCTGTCTAGACGCTAGCACGGGGCCTGTCAGCATCCAAATGACAGCACGTGCCCAAGCCGCCAAGCGTCAAAGCCGGCTCCATGCCTGGGATTGCACATGCTGAATGAAGCCCAGTTTCATGTTCATGTGGCTCTAAGACAAAACGCCAGAAACCTCCCCGAGCACCTCACCCCTTGTCCCCTTCATCACATGGAGAGGCCCCCAGGCTTCTCACGCCTCCCCTCCCCTGTTGCTCATTCTTTGGGGTGATCACCTCCTTCAGGCGAGGTCTGGATCAACCCAGGGCACTGACCTACTGCTGCTGGGGAGTCAGCTTAGGGCTTAGCTCAGTGTACTCCAAAATCAGCCACGACTTACAAGGACTCACCACGCGGGCGCCCCGGCTCTCAGGTACCTCCCAGGGGCCCCAGCTGCTCGGCAAGCCTCCAGCCTCAGACACCCGACATCTTTAGTGTTGCCCAGAAAGTACGTCAGCTTACACCTTCTCTTTGGATTCTGCATTAAAAAACCAGCCCCTGCAAGCTGGGGAACAGGTCCACCCTTAACCTAAGGCAGTGGTTAGGTTGTGGGGCAGCAGGCAGGACCTTTGTGCGGGGCCTTGACTTTCCTGCACTGCACTGCATGGTTCCCCAGCGGCTGGCACCAGGTGACAGCCCCGGGCTCGCCCCCGCCCACAGCCAGCGGCCTCGGCCCCATCTTGCCCAGGCACAAGCCCGCCGCAGGGGTGGGACGGAGGGGAACAGCCCAGGCTGGAGAGAGAGAATTCCTCGGCCCTTTCTGAGGAAGGAGAAGCTGGGAAAGCCACCCTCATTTCACCTAGCCCGTTGTCCTCTGGAAGCCCACTTCACGCTGCTCCTTTTGAGGTCTTTCCCCTCCTCAGAGCCCTGGGGCCTGGATGGTCAGCCCGGGCACTCCCCTCGGGCTTCAGCTCCTGAGGGCAGGGACTAAGTCCCTCACACCTGCAGGGCCCCCTGCCCCCAGCACCCAGCCTGTCACAGGAGACTCCCACTGCTGAGGCGACCAGGGTGACAGGTGGGGCTGGGCAGGCCTCAGACCCAACTCCTGCCCTTGCCCACAGCTGAACAGGGCTCTCAGGCAGGCAGCCTTTCCACCCGGGGCCCTGGTGCTTCCTCCTGGACCAGGGGCACCGAGCCCAGTACCAGCTGTGGTACCAGCCCGGCCAACCTCCTCACACTTTGCCAAGAGGAGGCCCACGAAGGTCCCACTCACATGCGATGGGCCTGGAGCACCCCTGAGTCTGAGGCCTGCCTGGTGGCAGCACAGGGCTGGCCCCACCCGAGGCCACGCAACAGGCTACCACCACCTCCCCTCCCACCAAGAACAAACCCCTGCCTGGGTTCTGGAAGGATCTTAGAGGTTTGCCAAGGCAGGTTTGGGGTTAGGTTTCTAGAGCCCAAGGTGTGCTGGACATCAGCAAGTCCCCCCCAGCTAGCAGGGAGCATGTGTGCACACATGCAGGTGAGGACGGAGGAGGTGTGTGTCTGCATGTCTGTGAGTGGGAGGAAATGAAATAAGCCAGAGCCCCAGACCATTTTCACCTGAGCCCAAAACTGGTTTCAGGCTCGCTGGTTCCTGGCGCAGACTGGCTTTGATAGGTAGGAGCCAGGGAGCCAAGAGGAGAGGGGCACTCAGAAGAGGTAGTGGAAGGGTGGAAGGACATGTCAGCGGGGGCTGGGGGATGGCCCCAGCAGTGGGAGGGGATGGGAAGGAGCATGTCATAGGTCTGGCTCAGGCAGGGCAGAAATGCCAAGAGGGGGCCTTGGGGTATGACCGGAGGCCAAGAGCCAGCACCATTCAGTGGGGTCACAGGGCTCCTGTTCCTGGGCTTGAGGGGCAGCGCCTACCTGTACCACGGCGGGTGGGTGCTGAAGGCCTGGAGTCATAGGTGGCAGGGTCCTGCAGTGGGGGAGTCATCCAGTGCCCCCTCGGTGCCCGGGCCCAGAGCCCACTGCACCTGCAGCACCAAGGGCCATTGTGAGGAGAATCTGAAAGGAGAGGGCAGTGGGAGGGGTGGGCCAGACCCTGAGCCCCAAAGGCGGAGTCCAAATGGACCTCCGAGGGCTGGTGAGGAAGCCTGAGGGGCTCAGCTGGGTGGACCAAAGTCCGGCACAAGGAGGTCTGAGAAAGAAAACAGGAGGTGTGCAGAAAGGGACCAGGGTGGAGGTGGCAGGCAAGGGCCAGCGAGGGCTACACGGGGAGCATGGGGCGGGAGCAGTGTGGGAGCAGGAAGCAGTCGGCAGAGACCAGGCCTTGCAGGACTAAGCTAGAAGGACAGAGCAGGGAACACAGGCAAGACCCAGGCCCAGCAGGGGAGGCAAGTTCTGGGGACTTGGCGAGAGGCAGGAGAGAAGAGGGAGAGCTAGGCATCGGAGGCACAGGGCATGACCGTCAGGCCCGGATGGGACCTGGATGGCTCCTGGAGCCCAGAAGGGACATCTGAGGGAATCCCCGGGGGCGGCAGGCGCATCAAGTAGGCCGTTCTTAGTGTGCCCACTGTGCTCACGCCGGCCCCTCCCCGTGTGCATGGCTGTCCTGGTTTCACCCCTCCTGCAAGAGCAGCAAGGCCACAGGCTGGGGTCAGGACCCAACTTGTGAACTCAAGTCCTTGAGCAGGTGCAGTGTGGGGGACAAGGAAAAGGCACTGCTATAGGCATGGAGTGGGGGGGGCGGCCCGAGAGTGGTTCAGGGTCACACGTAGGTGGTGTTGGCCAGGAGGTGACTCCGCGAAGTGTGAGGAGGCAGGGCCAGCAATGAGAGGAGGAAGATGCCAGTGGGGGAGAGGTTACCAGCCCAGGGGTGGTGGTGGTGGGGGGGTGCCCTGCAGGAAGGCTGAGACAGAGGGACAACCTGAATGGGAGAGAAGTGTCCAGGCAGGAGGGTGCCAAGTGGAGACAGGGAAGGTGCCAGGCAGGGGAAGGAGGGAAGGTGCCAGGCAGTGGGGGAGGAGGGGAGGTGCCAGGCAGGATAGGAGGAGGGGAGGTGCTAGGCAGGGGAGAGGAAGGGGGGTGCCAGGCAGGGGAGGGGGGGAGGTGCCAGGCAGAGGGAAGGAGGGGAGGTGCCAGGCAGAGGAGTGGGTAGGAGGGAGAGGATGCCAGGCAGGAGCAGGATGGGAACATGCGAGGCAGGGAGGCGGTGGCAGGCAAGGGGGAGGAGTAGGTGCAAGGCAATCAGGGAGGAGGGAAGGTGCCAGGCAGGGGAGAGGAGGGGAGGTGCCAGGCAGGAGAGTGCCAGGCAAAGGGAAGGAGGGGAAATGCAGGTGGAGGGAGGATGGGAAGGTACCAGGTAGGGAAAGAAGGAAAGACGCCAGGCAGAGATGAGAAGGGGGAAGTATCAGAGAGGAGGTATGATGGGAGTCTGCCAGTCATGGAAGAGGTGCAAGAAAGGGGGTAGGAGGAAGAGATACCAGGCTGAGGGTGGGGGAGGTGCCAGGCAGGGGAGGAAGAGAGTGAGGAGTGGGGGGAGAGATCAGGAGATGAGGAGGGGATGAAGACGCCAGGCGGGGAGAGGGGGGGTGCCAGGTAAGGGGAAGTGCCAGGTAAGAGGAAGGTGCCAGGAAGGGGTGAGAAGGAAGATGCCAGGCAGGGGGGAGAAGGGATGTCAGGCAGTGGGGAGACCAGAGAGATGCCAGGCAGGGAGGAGAACGGGGAGAGGCCAGGGGGGCGGAGGGGGATGTCAGACAGGGGGAGATGCCAGACAGGGGGGAGGAGGATGCCAGGCAGGGAGGAGAAGGGATGCCAGGCAGGCGGGAGCAGAGGAGATACCAGGCAGGGGGGAGGAGGGATGCCAGGCAGGGGAAGGAGGGATGATGCCAACAGAGGCAGGACGGGTACTGCCAGGCAGGGAAGGCGGGGGCGCCGGCGCAGCGCGGCCGGGCGGCGTCTCCGCAAGGGCCTGGGGGCCGCGCAGCGCGGGTCGCTCACCTGCTCCCCCGGGACCCCGGCCCGGAGCACGGCCGCCCGCTCCCCGCTCGGCGCGCTCGGCTCGGCCCGGCGCCTGCGCCGCTGCAGCCTGGAGCGGGGGAGGCGCAGGGAGCGTCTGCAAAGAGCGAGGAGCTTAATAATGAGTTAGGGATCAGAGCAGGCAGCGTCGTCCCAGCCATCCGAAAGCGCGATCACCACGCTGGGAGCATCGCCGCCCGCCCTGGCCAAGTCCATTGTGATCCTCAGCCTGTGCACAGATGAGCCTTAGGTCTGTAGGAGCACCTACGCGCCCACTGATTCACACAGACCGTCAGAGCATCCTAAGTGACCGCAGACATTACCCACTCTCGGACCACACACACGGGAGTGGAGTGGGGGGCATCGGTTCCACTCCAGGTTCAGAGCCAGGCACTGACTGATGACACCCCCTCCTACTTTTATGCACAAGCCCTTGCCCCACATCCAGTCACAGGAGCCGACCCTGGGCACTCCATGGGGTCTCCCAGGAATACATTTGATCTAGCTCGTTAAGTAAGCAAATTTGGGTAGGAGTCCCCCTCAAAGCACCAGTAGCAGCCAACACAGTGCCTGGCATACAAAAGGGGCTCAAGTCTTACCTGCTAAAAGGGATGAGCCTCAGAGAGACTTAGGCAAGGTCCAGAGCGAGTGGGAGCCTCCACATGAAGGATCCAGCAGGTGAGGACTTTGGGGCAGGATCCTGGCAGCCCCTGAGGAGGAGCTATGAGAGAGACCCAGATCGGTGGGGTCCTGCCCCCTCAGATTCTCGCCTCTGCCCCCGATGCCTAGTCTAGCCCCATCCAGGCCACTCCCTCACACTATGGGCATTTGGGGGTCGTGGGCTCCCAGCATTGCCTGGGCCTGCGCTGCCCCTGACAATGAGCTAACTTGGAGGCTTTTCTACCTCAACTGTTTTTTGTTTTTTTTGCGGGGGTTTTTGTTTTTGTTTTTGTTTTTTTGGTCATTATGTTTTACTTTTTTACTTAATTTTTTTCCAATTGTGGTAAACTACACAGAGCACAAAATTTGCCATCTTTTTAAGCATGCGATATGATGCTGTGAAGTGTATTTACCTTGTTGTGCAGACCATCTCCAGAACTCTTTTGTCTTGGCAGCCTGAAACTCTACCCATTAAACAATTCTCCTCTCCCCCCCAGACCTGGGGCACCATTGTTCTACTTTCTGTTTCTATGAATTTGATTACTCTAGATACCTCATATAAATACATTCATATGCACTTGCCCTTTTGTGACTGGCTTATTTCGCTGGGCATAACGTCCTCCAGGTTCATCCACGCTGTAGCAGCTGTCAGCACTGCCTTCCTTTTCAGGCGGAAGGAGCTTCCATTGTATGGATAGATACAACCTATGGGTGGATATCAGCTACATTTTGTTTATCCATTCATTTGTCCACGGACAGTTGGGTTGATTCCACTTTCTGGC